ATTCATGTATGAGAGAATCACCCCAAGTTTATATTTGCTCTCTTCAAAGCCTCATTTCTTTGTCATATATTCTTCAGATCAAGCAATGCAAGAAGTTATTAACTCAAAGGCATCTTCAGTTTGAGGGGCAGTGTTATCATATATTGAGATTTATTCCTAAGCAATGCAAGTTGTGTAACATCATGAATTTCAATCCAAGCAAATTAGTTGCTAATTGGGGGTAAATTAATAATTAGTGGGTTGATTGTAGATTTAGAAAGGGGATTAATGTGTGGTATTGATTGGTTGGTGTGGCTACATGATCAGATGGTAGAACTGTGATTCGAGACTTAACGAGCGAGTACTAATGATATTTTTCTCATTATGCCACGCGTTGTGACATGTGCTGCTTGCGTCACGGCCATGGCACAGAGTTTGATAAAATTGACCTTCTCAGCTCATGAAATCATAAGGGAAAAGTTAGAAAACACACAAAGGAGAGGAGAGGTAGTTCATCTCTACTAGGGCATCAATTATTGAGGGTTTGTGAGTTTGCTTTAGCCAGTGATTTGTTGGGTAAGTTTCATACTACCCTGTACTATGTTTCTACCCTAATTTCTTCAAGTTTAGTTGGTAGAAAAATATTGAATTAGAAAGTTCTAAGGAGTTAAAATCTAAGGAATAAGTTTCAAAATGGGTCTTAGATGTAAAACTAAGGTTTTATGATTGATCTAAAGTTTACTGGTTAAACTTTAAGGATAAAGGCTTACATTAACTTAAGTTATTTGGTTGAAAATGGGAAAGTTGATTAACAAATGAGAAACAGGAATGTTTTTGTCATTTGGGTAGCTAAAGGGCGAATAACTATAGATAAAGGGTTATGTGAATTCAAAATGGGTTAGTTGAACTAATTCATGTGTTGAGAGATTTGGCTTAGCCAAGTTAATGCTCTGGGTGAATGTTAGAAATTGAGTAAGGGATGTTTGTTATGTAGATTAAGCATGCAAGGATTGGTCATGGAAGTTGACATAAATTGAAAAGTTCAGCAGGAATGATAACTCTTAGTAAAAAGGGTAAAATGTAACTAGAGTAACTCTTTTATTTGTTAATTTGTAAAATAATTTACAAGTATTTTATATGAATTATAGGCATTGTGTTTTTTGAACTGGTAAAGTAGCAATATTGCAAAAGTAATATGCATGTGTGAGTATGAGTGATGTTTGACATATATGTGAAGAGGCATATACATTTACATCCGTGAATGTACCCTAGACTAAGTTAGGGGGTCATGGCTCTACTTTGTGTAAGGTTAGGAAGTTATGAAGGTCTTAAGTATAGAGCTTGCTCCGCTATAAAGGACCTAAGACAATTATCCACAAGTGTACCCTAGACTAGGATAGGGGGTCATAGCCTTACTCTGTGTAAGGCTAAAAAGTCTTGATAATCCAAGCATTGAGTATGCTTTGCTAGTGAGGACTTAGGAGACCACCCATATGTATGATACCAAGTTTGAGACAATGAGTTAGTTGGCGTTATTTCGTGTAAGGTTGAAAGTCTTGGTCTAAGCATTGAGCTTGCTTCGCTAGGGGGAACTGGGAGTGCATGAGCATAGTAGTGGATAAGAATGATATTGTATATATGCTAATCTATACTGTTTTATTGAAAATGATGATACTTTATCTCTTGTTTATGATTTTACTTATTAACAAATATTTGGGATTTATCTAAGTTATTAGGACATATGTCTCATTCCGTTACCTTAGATACAGGTGAAGAGATTACAAGAAGGTCGAGACAAGAAGTGAGGAAGGATTAGCTTCTTTTTGATAGTGGTATGACTACTCTTAGTGTAATGAATGTATATAATGTTGTTAAATGTTGAGTTGCCAACTAAGATGTATAAGTGTATGTAAATGTGTATATATGATTGAATTGTTTAAGATATATAATGTTGTTAAATGTTGAGTTGCCAACTAAGATGCTTAAGTGTATGTGAATGTGTATATATGATTATGCTGTTTAAGATCTTACTTGTGTATTTGGTAACACATCTCGCTGAATGTATCACAGTGGTGAATATGTGGGTGAGCCTAGATACTATTTAAGCAAGTGTGTGTTATTGTGTAACTTGTTCTGTTAGAAATGAATGTGAATTTTTTTGTGTGAAAATGTATATGTATGTGAAACTTGACTAAATGAAGATGCTTAGCCCTATTTATGTGTAAGTCAAGTAAATGATGATTCCAGACCATATGGTAAGGCTTAGCCTATAAGTGAAACTCTGATGGTTGATAATGGAACAAGGGAGTTTGTGTTTATGTGGTTATGTGTGTGCCTCATATAAGACTACAAATATGTAATGTGGCATTAAGAGATCAATTGTGAATATGATGTGATATATGTGAAATGATTTGTCAATTAGGTGTATGCAGTCCTTTTGGATTTAGTTCATGGCCTAAAGTGGTTTAATGGAATAAGGGATAAGAATTGAACACTTAGGGTGCCAAATTTTGAAAGAAAAGTAACTTTTTATACCTAGGTGTCCAATTTAACATTGAACCACTAGATCATATCCAAACTTGTCTCATTAGATAGATTATGTTATAAGCTTTATATGGGAACTTGAATCACTTCAATTAGATGTTGGGTGTGAAAATGGCGAGCAGCAGAAGTTCATATTAGAAATCTACTATGACAGCAAAATCTAATACATGTGTTGTGACGCATAACATAAAATTAGGGCACATTGCTTTGTGCCACATGTCGAGGTATATGTGATGTGAGCCACAGCATATGGCTTATTTTTGAGATAATGGTTGTTTGATTTTCTTTTTGAGTAAGTGCTCGTCTATGCTTTCATTAGCCCTTTTTATCGAACATATTTTCTACAAAGTCAAAATCTCGCATTTTAAAAATAAATTAAGGGTTGTATCCTTGAGATTGTATTGTTGTGTGTTTGTGTGTGTGTGGGGTTGGTAATGCCCGGATGAAATAGGGAACTTTGCAAGTTGTGACAAACTCAAGAGCATCTTGAGTTTGAAGGGAAGTATTAAGATATATTATCTATTAAGATTTATTCTATTGAGATTTGTTATTTGTTGAGATTTCAAGAATATTTTTATTCATTAGTGATTATTAGGATATTAATTTTATCTATATATTGTAAGCTTTTCATTTCAACAGAAATAACACCTTTTCCAATCAAGCAAGGTCAAAAAAACCATCACAATTTACTTTTAACCTTCCTACACTCGATCAGCCTCTGCCACTTCTCTATAGCCTCATATTCCACAACTTCAGCAGTTACTTGACGTACTTCCTTTACCCAACCCTTAGCTTGCCACAATTCATTAATAGCATTCGTGGTATTATTCTAATCATTTTAACAAGGTCAGGTAATTTCTGCTCGAAAACCACTACATCCAAACTAGTCACATCATCCAAGCAAAATAAGCGAGTTGATAATCATCAATTAATTTGTCATTCAACACAGTCTTCTAGAGCCAACCTCCAAAATGCACTGCATTTATCCTTTTCAAACTTCAATGCTAGCTCACTACCAAACTACATTGATCTTGTCAAGGGCATAAGAATAAAGCATGTTCATTCGTCTCATCCTCTTCACCACACATTGGACAATAATTAGCATTCCTAAAAATTTTAACTTATTACAACTCAATTTTTATAATTTTAATAATTTAAAATATTAGTTTCTAAATTTCAAGAAATCACTTTAGTCCTTGTAATTTTATTTTCTAAAATACAAAAACCAGTATTTTAAATAGTTAAACTATAGGGGTTGAGTTAAATTGAGTTAAAATTCAAAAACTGAATTACAATAAAATCAGAACTATAATAATTGATATAAAGAATCAAAATTAAAAGGACCAAATTATTAATTTTTTTCATAAATAAGCATAGAAATACTGTGATTGAAATTAAAGGCAACACTACTGGGAGCAATTTATATATATATATATATATTATATATATAGTTTTATTTTGGCAGAACTATACCAGAGAAGGAAATAATGGTCTGTGAAGTTTTACTATTTTTATCGAGCTGCAAACGCATGCATGTGCATGGCTGATGGCCTCGCAGATTCCCTTATTAAGATCAAAGCATACATGCATGTGGCCTCGCAGTTGTTTCTTGTTTTTTTTGTGTCCTTCCTGATTAATTGTATTGGGTTGCAATGGAGCAACATGTTCAATTATTCTAACATGTCCTCTAGATCATAATACTTATAAAATCACCGAAGTGATTCTCACATTGCAAATTAAACAAGATCCAAACCTTAGCCCTTGTAAAGTATGAGTCACATTAATAAATAAAGAAAAGAAAAAGTACACCTGCCATCATTTAACTTTATTTGTATTAGGTTTTAGTTTTGGTCTATTGATTATATAATATATTTTCAATCCTCTGATTTTAACACTGTTAACCTTAAATGCAGCAGTAGAGCCACATGTTGAGGGTCACACTTTGAAAAAGTACAAATTTGGTGTTTATATGTTTTAGTATTTTGCATTCATATATCCTTAACATTTTGGACTACTTGTCTTTAAGTTCAATATTTTACATCGTTGCCTTTGAGTAATAAAATTACACGTTTTGCATAAGGGCCTTGACTTTGTCACTTCTTAAATGATGTTTTTTGTTCCAATTATTGCTATATTTTTTTAAAAAATAAACTTATTATATCAACATTTATTTGAAAAATGTTTTGTATTGTCAACATTTAAAAGTTCAATATTGATATTTTTTATTGATAAAGTTAACGGTATTAAAATTAGAAAACTGAAAAAAAATACTTTCTAAAATTAAATAACCTAAATGAAGACCTGGTATGAAATTAAATGAAGAAATTAAATATTTTGTCAACAAATAATGGCAATTTACAAAGATAAATTAATTATCATTTCAATACAATTTCACTTTTGTTTTCTTTCTTGCTTACATGATTTTCTTCGATTCAAACATGCTACATAAAAAACAAAATCTAATTTATAGTAACAAGGAAATAGTAAATGTTTTCACTATGCATCAACTAATTAAAAGAAAGGCATGAAAAAATTACAAGTGTCAAGCCCACTTGGCTAAAAGAGACATCAAACCAGCACCTAACAGTAAAGAAATAGAGGCTCCAAGCAAAAGACGAATGTGTTTTTGCATTCTGTCACTCATGAAATCGGCAGCTAAAAAATCAACAAGTGCCATATAGACTAAGATTCCAGCTGATGCAGCATCAAGAATGCCCTCAACAATAAGAGCAGTTTGACTATTCTCATCATACACATTTGTAATTCCTATTCCAATTGCTATTCCAATTGGAGTTGTCAGAGCAAAGAAAAGTCCCATCGTTGCTATAGTTTTGTTGTTGAATTGAGCCTGCAATATATTAATGCAACAATAAATAAGAAATTTATTTATTAACATCTTAATAAACACTTTTGTCTTCAATAATACAAGCTAATGACGGATCATTCCTTGGATGTTTCATATTTATTTCCATTAAAATGATTCAACATGATTGTAACTTTTCTTAGTTTGGACTAAAAACTCTAATTTACACTACCAAGAAAAATAGATTAATTTTGATCTATGTTATTTTAGTTTAGAATAATGAAATTTTTGATCTCTTAAGTTTATTTATCTTAGATATTGAATTGGTTACTGAAGTTTGATTTTTATCCATCAAGCCCCTAAATTTTCATAACTATATACAATTAGTCCTGATAATATTGTTTTTCCTTCAAACTATAAGAGCTAAATGTATATGATTATGAAACTTTAGGGGCTTAATTAATAAAGATTAAAATTCAAGGGTTAAATATTAATGATTGGGGTAAACTTGAGAAATAAAAAAAGTTTCATTATTATCCCTTCAAATTAAATTTCTTTTACTTTGATTTAGGAAGAGATGTATAAAATGCCCAAGACATGGTTTTATTGGAAGAATTTTCCATGTCAATCTTTTCTCAAAAAACCGGCGAAAGAAAACATTTAGGAATTAAAAAATCACACCTTTTATGGCATAGTTATTAGGGAAATCATAAATAAGGACCTCTGAATATGAAAAATAATAATCAAAACCACGAAATTATGAAATTGAATTTTAAAACCATATTCCTTTTTTTGGTAGTTTTAAAAAACAATTTGACTAAAATGCCCCTATCTAGTTACTATATAAGTTCGTAAGTTTGGGAGTAAAAATTTTTCTAACTCAAATAAAGTTATTTCATAACTCTCTTAAACTAAATTTCCAACCCAATTAAAGTGATTTCAATACTAATAAATTTTAAATTAGCCAATTGTAAGTTTAGGAATTAAAACATTCCCAACTCAAATAAAGTAATTTCATAATCCTTTCAATCTAATTAAAAGTGATTTCAGCACTAACAAATTTTAAGTTGTGATTTAGAGAGGTACATTTTAATCAAAATATTATTTTTAAACTACAAAATTGAGGATCATGGTCTTGAAATTTAATTTCATTTCATAATCTTGTGGTCCTGATTGGTTATTTGGAGATATTTGGAGTTCTTATTTATAATTTTTCTAAATTATTATTATTTTTTGGTAATTTTCCCAAGTAATTATTAACTGTTGTAAATGTCCCGAGATCACAAATACACAATTTGAAATTTGATTCTCACGTAGTAATTTCTTTTATCCTATTTCTATATCACTTCTAATATATTTCACCATTTTAAAATTTATTAACTCTCTCAAAAAATTTAATGAATTTGTAACTCCCTGTTAGATATAAATACTTTAATAATGCACTCTATCTCATCAACATTTAATAATGGATAAAGAGAAAATTTTGTGATAAAAAGTCAATGACAAGCATATATAATTTGAGGAAAAAAAAATCATTCTCTCTACATTATAAATAAGATTGGAGAGAGTAAGTAAAACAAAATTTTGGATGGAATTATAATTGGAGAAGGAAAAAAAAGTTGATCTTAATGGATTGGAATTCTCGGACCCAAAATCATGTTTTCATATGAAAACAAAATTACAAAACAAACGAATCTTATTGTGAAATTTGTTTGGTGCATAGAAAAATGATAGATCTAGAAGTAAAACAAGATTAATTAAATGAAAGGATGGAAGAGACAGGCGCCGGCATTCTTGACAAAATGCTCATAGCATTATTTAAAATTTAAAACTAATAAGAACAATGTTTAACAAAAAAAAAATAATCATACAATTTGAATACATGGCCGTCGGGTTGGAAATATTTAGCTGTTATATATGACTTGCGATCACAACACATGGAAACATACAACTATTATTCAATAATTGAAGGAGAACAACACAGCCATGAAGATAACATAATTTTTCTTTATTATTTCTTTTTTTACTGATATATTTACATCTCTATTTTTATTCAATTATACATAGTAATGAAAACTGAAGATAGTACTGAACATACCTGTGTGATACTACTTCCAAGGCCCATGCCCTCAAATAATTGATGAAAGGTTAAAGCAGCAAATAGAGGCTTTATAGTTTCTGGACTTTGAGATGCTCCCAAAGAAATCCCTATGATCACTGAATGCACTATTATGCCCAGCTCTAATACCTGCAATTATATTATAATATATTCATTCAATAATTCAATTAAAGCATAACGAAAAAAAAAGAAAATGGTCGGACACATATGATGTTCATAGATATGACACACACACGCACACTCACCTGTGATATGACTTTTTGACGAAGGAGTAGAGAATTAGATCCCTGTGAATGTCCATGTGTTCCATGAGCATGAAGATGAACATGTCCTTCATGTTCAATGCGTTCCTCGTCATCTCCTCTTGCTTCCATCTTCCCTTTCTCTGCATAAAGTTTCTTGAAATACGCAGTGGCAAAAGCATCCACCATTAGGGTTCCCATGGCAGTACACATAGCCACAAAACCAGTGAAGGGAAAGTCTTCCCACACATGATTGCTCAAGCAAGGAGAAGTCAAGCGCTCAAACGCCTCGGGAAGCACGTGAATGAATCCAGTGGCTAAAATCACGCCGGCGGCAAAGGCTTTGATCAGGAAGAAAATGCCCCTGTCGGGACTTAACGCCGGGACAAACTTTCCGAAAACCGGAATCAGAACTCCGATCGTACTGGCAACTAGTATGGAAACTATAGCTCCTATTTTGTACCTGAGAGCCTTGTCTTTGTCACGATCTTCTTCTTCATCTTCACATGTGCACTCAGAAACAACTAGGGATGGAAAAACGAGAACGAGAAGGATGAAGAACTGGATAATTTTGGTGCTTGATCTCCTCATGGAGTTTGAAAATTATGTAGAAGAAACTGAAAAAGCTAATAATGCATGTGGGTGTAAGAGAAAATTAGGGTTGTTTTTATAGGCTGAAGAGTGAGAAAAATCTGGTCGTTGATTTGATTATTGACCAAATTAAATTAAAAATATCGTATTTGAGGGAGAAATACAGTTGGAATATTTAATTCCGATTTCGTGATACGCAATGAGTGTCATCAAATGTCGACATTATAATTAGGAGTTGTATTGTATATCTGAACTAATAAAATATTTAGCCTAAGTACGCACCCAAGAGGCAAGGAACGGACCCCAAAGATATTTGGCTCAAGTATGTTTATCTAAATGTCAACGGGAATGTGCGGATAAATATACTCTGTTATGCTGAAATGTTTTGAAATGAGTTAAGAAAACTGAGGTTGACGATTCTAATATGCTAAACTTTAGGAAATGAAGTATTTTTTTTTAATATAACATAAATTAATGTTTTCTTGGCTGGAAGAAATCCAAATCAACCGAGGCATATTAATTTGATTTTCACTTGCTGTGAAGTCGAGTATTGTGTTTTAAATTGGCATGGAAATTACTAATAAAATGATTATCATGAGAGTGGTAAACTACTGTTATTGATAATTGAAAGGATTTTTAATTTAACATTTGCAGTAATCTTAATCTACCTAGCACTTTTTTTTTTTAATTTCTTGTACCGCGTAATGTAAAACAATACTCATCTTCAACTTGGATCAAAATAATGATGTTTAATTATTTGATAAAAAAAGAAAATGAGCACCTAAACTATAGGTCCATGAGTATTTGGGACTCTAAACTTGTTTTTGATATAATGTTCTTTTTTAATTTTTAAAACAATGTAATTTAGTTCCTCCCATTAACTTAACAGAAGATAGTTTATTAGAAAATGATAGAAAATAATTTAAAAAATTACAAAAATGGACTAATAAAATTTCTTAGTCTGTTAATTTTCTTGTCTGTAGTTTTTGGATCATTGACTATAATTTTTTAGTTTTTCTGTAATTTTAATATTTTTTATTATTTTTTATTCAACTAACAGTTAAAGTAACTTTTCTTAATAGTAGATATCAAATTGCATTATTTTTAAAGGTTGAAGAAAAACTTTATATCAAAAATGGGTTTAAAATCCTAAACATTCCTGAACTTATGGCTTTAAGGTCAAATTTGCTCTTTTACCCTTAATTATTTGACATTTGATACGAAATGATGTTTAAAGAGTAAAATCAAGAAATATATGTATGTGCGCGCTCGTGCATCATAGTAATATGTCGTGAGCTATATTATTCAAAATTGCTTCTACGATTCATTGATTAAACACTTAAAAAATGGGAAGCTATCTCCTCTCTTCAATAGTAAAGGGTAAAATAAAGAAAATTGTTAATTATCTTGCTGATAGAATTTTGCTGCTCAGAATCTTGCTGATAGAATTTTCTGACTTCTTTTCCATATGGCTTTATCTTGCTACATTTTGGAACTTCGGTTCTCTGTTTTAACTTTTCTGTTTGATGGAATTTCTGGCCCGTTCACTTTGTTTTTGGTTGTGGCCGGGTTAATTTTCTTTGGCATTGGATTGAAAAAACTCCTTCAAGTCAGTGCATATTCGAAAGATACCTCGAGCTGTGAATTCATTATCAGTCTAAGACTAGTTACTTCCAATCACAAATTGGAGCAATTCGAAGATCTCGAAGGATGCCAAGGAGACGGTGGGTCTATGCCAAGTGTCAAAGGAGCTCCTTTAGCTTGTCAACTAAGGGACGTTCATTTAAATTTACCAGAAAATGCTTGAGTATTCATTTTAAATAGTTAATGATTTATTTTACATTATTATATAGTACTAGAGAATGTAATTTGCGATTTCGTGAGTTTTTTTTAATAGAAGATTGGATGAAATAGCTACATTTTTAAACAAATAAAATACTTTTAAAAGTGGTCAAATCGCTTGATATACGCCTTTTCCCGGCCTTCCACGCACAAATCATCGTAAAGCCATTTTTTTTAATATTAGGATAAACGACTTTGAGTAAATAAATATGAGTATTATAAAATTTATTGTCCCCTGGCCAACAAATCTACTAAAACACTTATCAACGTGATCACATGCTTGTACAACTCATCAAGCTTTCTTCACATTCACTCAAGTACATATCAATGGATGTTTTTTTCCTCATATCTATTTCATACTCCATTGTTTGTAAGGGGAAATTCACGAATAAAGACCAAGTAAAATTGATAATTACAACTCAGGACTATGAAATAGTCAAATTAAATTTAAAGACAATTGGCCCATGTGTTAAGATATATTAAAGGAAAAAAGAGATTAATATCAAGATGATCAACTCTTCATTAATCAATGATATTCAACAAATGATTACAATGAGGATGACAAACCTTTCTAGAGTGATTTACAAAACAACAACATAACATTTCCTAAGGGGGTGTTGAACCAACCCCAAACCTATATGTCGCATTTTGAAGCAATAAGGGACTTCAATAAACTCTCCACTTCTAATACAATGTGATATCTTTTATCTAAATTTTAGGATCACCAACTAATTAGATGATTAACATTGATCACATTGACTAATCCAATACTATGCAATTAAAATATATGTTTCTGACTAAAATTACTGCTCGTGTCACGCTACTGAGAACATTGGAATTGGGTTAGAAATTTTTAAATATTGGTTGAGAAATAACTCCAGTTGACATGAAAAGTCTTCTTGCATTAACCACAGAGGCATTTTAGTCAAAAGCTAAATTTTTAATTGCATAGAAAGATCGTAGTCCTTAAGTTTAATTTTACTATTTTCATATCCTGAATTGTAATTATCGGCCTTATTAGGTCCTTAATTATAATTTCCCTGTTGTCTTCTTCTCTCTTTCTCTATCCATATTTTCTATGAATTTTTGTATTTTTTTTTGGTACTTGGAATTTTTATTTCATGCCCCAATAAATATTTTCTTTATCCCGATATTCTTCTTCTCCTCCTTCACATGTACATATTGAAAAAAAACCAAGGCATGAAGCACTACCAAGAAGGAGATGAAGAACGTAAGGATTTTGGTGCTTTTCGCAAGACGATGAAGAAGTGAGTGTAACAAAATTAGGGTGATAATTATTGGAAGAAGGGTAAGAAATTGAATTTGAATTCCTAAGTCCTCTCATTTCATAACTGTTTCAATTATAGTCATTAAACTTTATCAATACTTAAAAATTATTAAAAAATATATTAAGATATATTTCTCTCAAAAATTCAAAACAATTCTCAAGATTAAAACCCTCTTCACATACGTTTTCCAATTCAAAACTTTAAAATTTAATACTTTTTAAATATTATATAATAAATTCTATGATAGTCATTTGATTAAATCAAATAGTTATTATTGTGTCATATAAAATATTCATTAAGTGAGTGAACTTATGTCATTCAAGGAATCCAAATCCTAGGAAAATTTGGGGATTTGATTAACATTTAAAAAAATTAAAAACATAATTAACGTTATTGTACTTGTCAGAGAAATAAAGAATTCATTGGATTATCTAATTTTATTTCAATTTTAACTCGAGTTTGCAATGAGTGTCGTTAAATGTCGACATTAGGCGATGAACTAATAAAATATTTAGTTAAAACTTAAAAGAGTGCTTAGGATCTAGTAATAATGTCAACGGGAGCACACAAAAACACGTCCTCTCATGCTGCGGTGTTTTCAACTGTTAAGACAATTAATAAATGGAAAACTGATGTTGATGATTAAGCGCTACGTCTTTGGCAACAAAAAAGAAAGAAAGAAAGAAAGAAAGACGCTAGATCTTAGAAAATGAATAATTTTATTTTTAATATAAATTGATTTTTTATTTGTTGGAAGAAGAAGTCCGATTTAATTAACGTACGTTGGTTTTGATTTATGTGAACATTGACGTGTTTAGCAGATGGAAGATATTCTAGTTAACTCATATTCCTATATAGGCATAGATGAGTGATGATAAATTAACTCAACATATGTTGGGCGAATGAATAGAATATTTAATTTAAGTATTTTATATTGACATTAATGAATTATTTTATTTTTAAAAAATAAATAAGTTACTTTTCCCTGGATATTTAACATGATATATATTTTTAATATACTTTTATCTAATCAAATCAAGACAAGTGTAATTTATTATATTAATAATATTAATAATAAAAATTTATTATAAAATAAATACTTTATAAAAAATTCACATGTCTTGATTTAATTAAAAATTAAAATTTTATATAGTGTTAAGTATGTAAGATTTTTCCTTTCATTTATAGTCCAAATTACATTTTTTTATCAAAATCTTTTATATTTAGTAGTTATATAATATAACAAAATACTCCCTCCGTTTAAAAATATAAGGTATTTTTAATCAAATTTCACCCCTGATAAAATAGTTACTTACTTTTAAACTAACTCTATCTTTTTATATTTATTTCTATTAAACATCTTATAATAAATATAAAGTTCTTATCAATAGGAGCATTCTTGAAAAAAAAAGCAATGACTAAGTCTCAAAAAATTCAAAATGCCTTGCATTTTTTAACATCTAACTTCTCAAAAAATGTCTTCCATTTTTGAACAGAGAGAGTATTATTTACCAACAAAATATGGGAAAAAAATTATAAATTTGGTAGACAAAGTAAACGTGAAACCTTACGCTTAAAACCAAAACAAGCCCTTCGATCAGTCCTTACGTTTAGGACTAAAAGGAGTATCATTGATCTATATTTTGATAATATTGAACTCTTGACTTTTAGCTCATGACTGGTTTATTGGTGATTGGATGATAACAAATATCTTTAATGTGTAATGCACAAACGAAAATAAGCATCATCATCAACACGTACTCAACGATAAGCCTTGCCAGAGTGACTTTAAGGTCTCCATTTTCTACGAGATATGTCATCACATTTTAGCTTGACTAACACTCTTAAATTTCCAAGGTTCCAAATTTCCATTTTAAGTTTTCAATTAGGAGAAAATG